GGGACACCTGGGGACATTGGGGACATTGGGGACAGTGCCACCACCCTGTGCCACCACCCCTGTCCTAATGTCACCCTGTGCCACCCGCGGGGACACCTGGGGACATTGGGACAGTGCCACCACCCTGTGCCACCACCCTGTGCCACCACCCTGTGCCACCCGCGGGGACACCTGGGGACATTGGGGACATGGGGACAGTGCCACCACCCCTGTCCTAATGTCACCCTGTGCCACCCGCGGGGACACCTGGGGACATGGGGACAATGGGGACAGTGCCACCACCCTGTGCCACCACCCTGTGCCACCCGCGGGGACACCTGGGGACATTGGGGACATTGGGGACAGTGCCACCACCCTGTGCCACCCGCGGGGACACCTGGGGACATGGGACATGGGACAGTGCCACCACCCTGTGCCACCAAACCTGTCCTAATGTCACCACCCCTGTCCTAATGTCACCCTGTGCCACCCACGGGGACACCTGGGGACAGTGGGGACATTGGGGACAGTGCCACCACCCTGTGCCACCACCCTGTGCCACCCGCGGGGACACCTGGGGACATGGGACATGGGACAGTGCCACCACCCTGTGCCACCAACCCTGTCCTAATGTCACCAACCCTGTCCTAATGTCACCAAACCTGTCCTAATGTCACCTACTGCCACCCACGGGAACACCTGGGGACAGTGGGGACAATGGGGACAGTGCCACCACCCTGTGCCACCCCAGTGCCACCCCAGTGTCCCCAGCCCCACCCTGATGTCCCCAGTGCCACCCCAGTGTCCCCAGTGTCCCCATCCCAGTGTCCCCAGTGCCACCCCGATGTCCCCACCCGTGTCCCCAGTCCCACCCAATGCCACCCCGGTGCCACCCCGGGGTCCCCAGCCCTGTCCCGAGTGCCACCAACCCTGTCTGAGTGTCACCCTGATGTCCCCACTGCCACCCCAGTGTCCCCAACCCCACCCCGGTGCCACCCCAGTGTCCCCAGTGCCACCCCAATGTCCCCAGTGCCACCCCAGTGCCACCCCGGTGCCACCCCCGTGTCCCCACCCGTGTCCCCAGTGCCACCCCAATG